CGGAGGTTTTGCAGCTCAAAGCCTAAAGAAAATATTGCCACAATTTCAAATTTGTTTTTTTTATTTTTTAAACTGTCACTTTTGAATACTCTCAATTTTTTGTTTTCCTTAAATTTTGGGGCTTTTTTCGAGTTCATATGAGGTTTTTTGAACTGGTTTGTGACTTCATTCGGGCGATGAAAGCCTATAAATGATTCAAAAATATATTTAAAAAGGTATTTTTATTTTTGGGAAAAAAAAGCATATATTTCTTCAAAAAAGAAGAAGCGACAAGGAACCTAAAAATTCCTTTTTCCATTTGTGCTTCCCTTTTTTGTAAAATTAAGAACAAAAAATTGAAAAAAAAATTTTTTTTCTAATTTATTCCCTTTTATGTTCCATTTAAAAACAATAATTTTCAGAGTTAAAATTTTAAAGGGAAAAAAAAATCCAAAAATTAATTTTTCTCCAAATCAAAAAATTCTTATTTTTATGTCCTTTAAGGGGAAAAAAAAAAATTTTTAAGTATTTAAAACCGGCCTTGAAATTTTAACCCGGACGTTTTTTTTCTGGACTTTTCCTAATTTTTTGTGGAAAAATCAATAATTACACTGCCCTAAGGATAAATTAAACAAAAAATCGTTATTTTGAATGAAAATTTTCTTATGAAAGGGTTTTAATTTTTGGAAATTTTAAAGTTTTTTTTTTTAATAAAATATTTCTTGTTTATTTTGTTTTTTAAAAATTCAGGGTATCATTATTGGAAATTTTTTTATAAAACTTTTCTTAACAAATTTTTTATTTTATCTAATTCTCCTCTTTAAAAAAAATTTGATTCGGAAAACATGAAAATTTTTAAAATTTAATAATTTCATCCTTAAACCAAATTTTTCTCATAATATTATCAAAAATTTCTTTACAGAAAAAATTTATCCGTGAAATAATAATAAATTTATCGATTCACATTTTTCAACTTGCTAATGGGAATGCCCTATTGGTAAAAAATTTGACAAGATGAAACGAGTATCTTGATATTCATCTTTCAATAATAAGAATTAAATAACAAAATGGGGTACAATTTCTGCCAAACTACCAATTTTTGTTTAATTTATCAACATATTCTTTCACAAACGATTAAAAAGGAAATTTATTATCTAATTAAAAACCAGACTTTATTGGGCAATTCGTATTTTTCTGAACAGCCTTTGAATCCTAATAATTTGTGTTGAAAAAACATCACTCAGTCTGGTTGAAAGGTGAACTTATGTTTTGAAAAAGTTGAATTTTGCTAGTTCTGGTTGATCTTGAAAATTACATTTCTGTGGGCAAATGTATGTAATAAGTTTTTTAAAATTCAAAAATTCTGCACGAAGCTTCATTTGTTAAATTTTTTCTGGAACTTAAATAGAAAATTTCATTTGTATTGTAATTAATAATTTTTTCTGGAACTTAATGGATTGCCTCATGATCTTTTGGATTAAAAATTTTTCCCAAATTCATTTTTAAAAAATTGGCAAATTTTTTTCAATTTTTTTTCGATTTAAAAAATTTTTTTTAAATTTTAACGTTCCTACTGGACCTTTATAAACCTTTTTTTTATTTTTTCTTTTTTTTTTTCGGTGATAATATGTTTCAGCTTTGTTTTTTGTTTTTCATAGGTGATGGAAAATTTGTCTAAAAAGTTTTTTATTTAAAACGGTAAAATTTCCATATTCGGAAAAATGCTAATATTTTTTATTCAAGGCAGCAAAAAAAATTATTTTTATTTTTTAAGTTTTTAAAATTATTATTTTGCAATTAAAATAAATTGAAAAGAAAATTTGGTTTATTTAGAAATTTTTTTCGAAATAACTTTCAGGAAAATAAATCCAGTTTTTTATGTTCAAATATCTTTCCATTTAACGTAGTGATTTAAATTTTTTGGGAAAAATGACAGTTTCCACTAATAAATTTGGTCAGATAATAAGTTCGTATGCAAATATCTCAACGCATGAAATATAGAGCGCCAAAAGAATGTGCCACCGGAACATTAGTGACTGACTTAACTTGTTATCTGAATAAAATTGTAAGATAACGAAATACTCCCGATATTAAAAACAAGCGTTTTATGGAACACAAAATGCCTTCATTTATCATATTTTGGCATCTAAATGTAATTCCTCTATTTTTTTTCTATTTTCTTAACCAAATATTATCTGGCAAAATAATATCCTAATTTGAAACGAACGATGTATCTTCTCTGAAATGTTTTAAGGAAAATGTGCTTTGTTTTAAATAAAAACGATAATGCAATCATTATAAATAACAATCAGGCCATAAATAAATCAAATCAATTAACGTCCAATGACTGTATTTTTTTAAATAACAAAATGGAGATAAGACATATGTTTATAAACGTCAACAAGGTACATTTAGTTGTTAATACAAATGTTTTTCGTAAATAATGTAAGTTGAATATAGAAATCAACTCCAGTTTCAATTTAAAATTGTAATTATTTTATTTGAAAAATATACTACGTTTCGACTCAAAAGTCTTCATCAGGTATACTTTGTTTACAGGAAATGACGTCAACGTCATTTGACGTCAAGGACAACGACGTCAAAATGTAATACATAATTTGGCGTATAAATGTTATATGTAGGATCTTAATTGCTTTCGTAAATAATACAATTCATATTCTGCCAAAAAAATAAAAAAGTGAAATCAGTAAAACAGAAAAAAAATATATATCCGACTTTAGGCTTCCAATATAAAAGTGATACTTTGCTATACGAACATCGATTAATGGCATACATTTAATCAAAAAACGGAAATCTATTATCACCATTCTATATCTAAGCTTTTGTATTATCGCGCGGCATGTTTGAACGAACCCAAATAACTTTTATTATCTTTTTTCAATGAGACGTAGTGAATTTCTATATTTGCATAACAATATCAGCTGTCAAAGTAATTCAATCTAAAATTCTGATTGTCAGATCTTTTATTCTGTTCACGACAGGTTTTTCTGTTTGATAACCAAATTTTCTTCAAGTTATTTAATCAAGATATGTCCACAGATTGTTGCCTTGTAGTCGTCCCCGATCTTTATGATGGAAAATGGGAAATTTGGAATAACAATGAGGCTCACTTACTACATGTATCAGATCTCTACAAATAATATTAATCATGAATTGATTTATGTTCTGTAGAATTATTTTTACCGAAAGTGTATGAATATTTTCATTAAAATGTTTTAGAAAGGTGTTTAGTGTTTAAGGTGCTTAGTCTAGCTTAAGAAAAAGCAAAATATTGTTTGCTCATATGGAACAATAGCAAAAAGATTCTACGTGAATATTAATCATCATTCCATATGTCACTGTTGAACTTGAAATAACTAATATGTTGCCTGTTATGAAAATGTTATTTTGGACAATAAATCATTTGTATCAATGTGGAAATCGTGCGCCATAATAATAAGACGACTTTCTAACAACAAATAACAAATATTTAATGTTCATGGGACCTATCAGTCAATCTACCAATCAAACTGTGAAATTGCATTGTATCAAACAGAAATATCCACACAAGTATTCATACCATGGTGTTAAGTTTCATTCAATGGACAATGATGGTTCGTTCCCATAGAAAACAATGCGTCTGACTTATGCACAATTGCGGAACTTATAAAATGGAATTTGGAGAGAATATGAAGCTTGAAAGTTACAAAATACATCATTATTATTTATTGTATGTAAAAAGTCGCAACATCTTGGTCATCATTATGTTTATAACATCATAGATCAATTTTGCAATATGATAATTATGAAATAAGCTGATACCATAATTAAATCTCCTCTTAACTGTCAGACTTAAATACTTATTTAAAGTAATGTTTCAGTAATATTTCAAATCTTTAATATTTGCAGGGAAAGATTTTCTTTACAAAGTAAGTACTTTAAGTTGTATATAAACGTACTAAATATTAACGTATTTTGTTGTAAAATGTATTTTAACAGCTTTTTATGATCAGAAACGGAACGTTTTTTAGAAGAATTGAGCAAACAGGTGAAAATCAAAATAAGTTTACATTTTGCCATAATTCCTTTCAATTTTATACTTAAATTCGCATGAACAAAAAAAATAACTTAGTAACCGTGACCCTAGGAAATTTCTGAATTATACATCGAAATACGTTTCTATAACGATGAATTTATAAAAAAGAGTGGGTTAGTCCTTTATTATTTTAGGCAGATCTATGTTTCATTCTTATCATTTTTAAATATGAACAGTTGGTCAATCTGCATTACGACACTCACTCTTTTGAAATATATAGTCAATTCGACTCAAGTTGAAATACAACGCTAAACTTTTAAATCTTACTGTTTTGATCGGAATGAAAGTTCTATTATTGCAATACTCGATCTATTTTTGACGGCTTCTAATCGGCAAATATTTGCAGCAAACTGAGCATTGCATTGGACCGTTGATGTTCGCTAAAAACAAACGAGAACATGAAATCCTATATGGCACAAGAGGATGCAACATTAACTAAATAACAATTACATATTTGGTGGACTTAGACCCCTGTTTACGTATGCCTTTGGTCTTTCAAATCCATCAACCTGCGGATCAACTAAAAGTCATGTCAGTGTGCAAAATAAAAGGTTTTAAATAGTCAATGAACAAAAATAATTATTAGTACTATTTGTTGGTTATGGCATGATGTAACATTACCGTGACGCTAATAAAGCTTCATTGTGAGTAACGGATACTGTTCTTTCTTACTTATTGCCATTAAAATAGTTTTGTCAACAAAGTTATTATGATTTAAATTTTATATTATTATGTTTATGGTTGGTCAATATAAAACCTTAATGCAATAATAATACGCAGTTTGAATGCACTTAACATTTGACATTATCAGTCATGCTACGCACAAGGTCGGCACAAACCAGTTTAAAATTGTTCAGTTTGACTGATAAGGTTCTATTTAAAGAATTGTCATGATACAAAATGATGATCGGGTTCATCTTATCTATTTCTATTAAACAAACAAGGACAACAGTCCATGTAATTTGGTTAGATCAGCGTAAGAGGTTGTTTGCATTCTGTAAACTGCAAAAATCTATTGTTGCTCGTATAACAAATAAGGTAAAACTTTACATATTCAAAATAAAGATACTGTGTTACATGAATAAACATTTTTATGAAATTTGTTATGAAAACAATTGTATATTCGGACAATGTAAAAGAAACATAACGAATCCGGATTAATATTAAAGCATTGGTTTCAATCTAACGACAAATGAGTTAATAATTATTAACTTAATAAATCGTATTATAAAAATAATCTCGCAACATAATTCAATTCGTGTCTATTGTATCTAAAACTATTTTGCAAAAATGTAAAGTGAAGGTAAAGTCAGTTAAAATTATGTTAAAGTTAATCTAAAAGTTGTCTTACTTTTGAAATGATATTGTCTTTCACTTTCATGTTGTTATTATTATTATTACTGTCTTGACTACGGTGGGTTTTAGAATATCTATTGCATCTAAAGTCTTGCTTTGTATATCACTATCAATAAGCTGCGTTGTTTGATTATAGATCAAAAGAGTTTAAAAACAATTCAAGCCATAGCACTAGAGACGTAGCGTAGACAGAATGAGAAACATTGTACTTGTAAGTAAACATTTTGGTATTTGTATTTTGTGCGTGAACGTTTTTAACAATCCTGGATATTACGCTTAAAACATCCTTAAAAGCTTTTGAGCATGTTTGTTGTCCCATTTTTAATTCGTTCTATCAGTGAATGACAGTTTTGTGGAACGAACAAAAACATGCGGCTCAATGTTTGGTCTTCTTTATAAAGTTATGTACCGGACGTGTTTGTGTACAGCCGCCTGACTGACGGACGAATCAATAGCTTGTATGCCCAAATCCGGGGTCAGGGTCGGGGAGTTAAAAACAATCACTGAATGTTGATGTAATAATAATTAATCATCCGTAGGACATTTTGCTTTCGAAATATAATTTTGTCATATCAAGATGAATTTTGAATTTTATTGCTAATATGTTCACAAGCATGAAACAATGTGTCACACGCAAGAGTCATTTCTCCGAAGAAACTGTCAAATATAGCGGTCAGATTTAAAAAATGAAATACCCTGTGCTTTTGTCCGGTCCAAAACCTGTCAACTTCAAAGTATTAATATATTGTTTACATTTACATCAGCAACATATGCGTTAAACAAGAAATTATTTAACCCGACAATATATGTTGTTTTGTTCAGGATAAACGATTTCAACGCATTGAATGCGAACATTTATCTGACTATTTTATATTTCAGATTTTGACGATCGTAGTGACGGTATTTGAGAGATTGTCCTCAGCTTTCATCTTGGATGATAATTGTCCCGTGCAATTACCTTGCAAATGCACGGAATCTGCAACGTATTATACCGGATACACTGTTCTGTGTAGCCATAACAACTTTACAGTCATTCCTAATATAAAACAAGTTAAATTGAATGTTACCAAGTTAAACTTGGTCTTTGGCGTAAACAAATTAACTGTTATACCTAATGGTGCATTTGGAATTATCAGCTCGATCAATACTTCAGAAATAGTATTAGACCTGTCTTATAATAATATAGTATCAATAGAAAACAATGCGTTTGATGGAATTGAAAACCTTACGACATTTCTTGGACTAAGAGACAATAATTTATCTACTATACCTTTGGCAATCAGTAATCTTAACTATCTCCAACGACTTGATATTCAGGATAATCCACTTCATTCTCTTCCTTCCTCAGTTATGTTAAACCTAGGCTCAACTTTGACTGCCTTTAAATTAGATTTAGATCACTTCTCTGAATGGCCTCGTGAACTTCGTTACCTTCGAAAATTGGAAAATCTGACTGTTAATCACATACCGTTTTCGCATTTAGATTTGTATGCTTTCCATGGAGTTGAGAGTACACTTCAACTTCTTCAGCTTGATTATTCTAAACTTGAAAAAGTGCCATATGCAATTTGTCAACTTAGTCATCTTACATCACTGTATATGCGATATAATGGTAACCTTCAGGAAAACAAATCTTCAATTTTCATACCATGTGGTAATGAAATGGTTACTGTCACAACATTGGACTTAAGTAGAAATGGCTTATATAAGTTTCCAGACATATTTTCTCTATTTCCAGCACTTACATCATTAACCTTGTCTTTTAATAACCTCCAATACATTGATTATACTAAAATTAAAATAGATTCAAAACTTACACATTTATATTTAGGAGAAAATCTTTTTGACAGAATACCGTATGCATTGAACAAATTAAAGTTTTTGAAAACATTAAGACTTAGCTATAATAACATAAAGACAATTGATTCACCAGATTTAGCCGGATTGCATTCCCTAACAGAATTGTATCTTGATATCAATCCTGTTATGTTTATAGCTCCAGATGCATTTAACCATAATGTGAACTTGACTCGTCTTAATTTGTATGACACATATCTTGATCATATTCCTGTCGCAGTGACAAATTTGACAAAACTTTCCTCTATAGATTTTAGAAGAATGCCAGTTGACTGCACTTGTGATATGACATATTTGAAACAATGGAATGTTTCGGCAATAGCAGAGGTTTTAGGAATTTGTGCATTTTCCTCTGAAACTATCAAACACTTTGTAATGAATACCTTACAGTCTTGTCCATAGACATTCAAATATTATGTTTTGAACTATTATGCCAATTAAGTTTACTTAATAATTTGCATATCCATTTTTTGTAAAAGAAAAAAAAAAGTAGAAATTACTTCCTAACTAAGTTTTCATGATTTTGCTAGTATAATAATCATTTGTATAGTTATCTAACACTATGAAATTTAATTCTCAGGTTTGAAATTGCTAGACTCATTCATTCTATGATAATTGTTGTTGCTTAATTATTACGTACCATATTCTTATTATTTACCACTTTAGAAACAATGAATTAATAACTATCTGCTCAACCTCCAACGTTTTGAAAGGTTTAACCCCTCTTTATCAAGGAGTTTGCTGTTTATTTTTTAAATCGCATATATTAATTTTTTGTCTACACTAAGTTATCTAAATAAACAATACCGGGAATCTGTATTATTCTGAACATAATTAATAACAGTTTAACACCACTGAATTTTCATGCCTGTCTGTTTTGCAGTCAAGATTTTGTATGTCGGTATGTTCTATTATTTATTGGTCGGAAAGATTAATTTCATTTCACATTCAATATATTCTTTTTATGATTTCAGATTTTTTATTGCATGATTCTTACATGTTGATTTAGTTAAAAAAATGCAATGTACATGTATTTTGCTACTAGAAATACTTAACTTTCGAATACATTTTTAAACATGTAGACTTCAACTTATTAACTTGAAGTTCATACTTTATTCATTAAAATTATACCTTACCGAGTAAGAAATAAGCAACAGTTTTAAAAATATTATCTTTAATTCGTATTTATTATGTTATTGTTTAGTTCAAGACAGGTAATTTTACATGTAAGTGCCTTAAAATACCTTTTGGACTATGATTTAAAACCTATCATGAAGTGCTAGCATGAAAGCATTATTTAAAACAGAGAACCTTTTGTTATCCAACCTGTAACAATTAATTAAACATGTATATAACTATTCATAATGTAAAAATATCTACGTTTTGCAAAAATAAGGTCATTGTGAGATTATACGTACTTTTATATTGAGAGCACATTTTATAAATATAGGATCTTTGTCAATAAATATTTTACATTCGGCAAAGATAATTATTATCGTGCAGTTTGAAGCATTCGGTTTATTTTCTGAAATAGAAGATAAGTGACCTTTGGGACTTCGACTACAACTGTTAACTATTTTGTAATGAAATGGAAACTGAAAAACTGTCTGGAAAAGGTGTAGGTGTTTAGGGCACTTTGGTTTAATCTCTTTAACAACTTAAAAGTTATAAAATGGCTCCGGGTTTATTCCTTGGATATGTTTTGTAGTGTTTTTGTATTTGAAACTAAGTTATTAAAATGTTACAAAAATATTACTCGTTATGTTAGTTAAACGAATAGTGTATTTTAACATGAATCCCGTTTTGTTTACACTTGATAACTGTTATTGTTGCTATTATTAAAATGTACTAAAATTATCTTTTTTTGTTATTGTCATGTTTATTAGTTTAGATCTGGGCTTATATTGGAAATATCGCTAGTTTTCTGTGGAAACAAAACAAAACATTTATTGAAAAACATCAGAAGAATAGTTATTATAACGGTACACATTGATACATTTTAACAGGTTGGATTAAATCTTTTAATCTTTTAAGTTCAGCCTGCAAATCTATATTTTACTGTTGGTATTGAAATTGACATCAAAATTTTTAAAATACGCAAGCTTACGAATAGAGATCATTATTATATTAAAAAGGATTTCAAAATAATAATTACCATCAGTAACATGTACTATTAATTGTACCATGAATCCTGTCTTTCACAAATTTACACAATAACTTTCGCACAATACGTTTGTATATTGATGAGGGAAAATTACAAAATGTTCAATGTTTACGCCAACGTTTACGGTTGCTTTCCATGTGTTTACTTGTTACGGCTACAAAATAACATGAAAAAGGAAAACACACAATTTTCAACGTTTACGCAAACTTTTACGGTTGCTTCCTTGTGTTATGCTTCAAAATAACATTAGACCCATTAAACGAACAATATATATAAAATGTCTGTATATACCGACAATATGTTATTACTTAGGTCTATGTAGGACCAACTTTGTACTTTGTAACACAATCTTACACTTTTTACCAGCATAATCGTCTCTTAAAGCTAGCAAATAATCACCAAAGAAATAAAAAATACAGTAGTAACAATTACCGATATTACTCAAATCGACGCGGCGAAGTTTAATAGAATCGTATAGATAAAACCCATCATATGTATGCATGAAATACCTACTAGCGGTCCTTTGGGGGCAGGGGGGTGGGTAACTAAATAATTGACGATACATTTTTATACATTGTGAAGCATTGTGCAAGTGATAAAACTCTCTGCATCTATATTTTGCCAACAACATGAATTTAACAGTTTAATGTATTACAGACGAGGAAATTTGCCCTGAAGGCAAAATACTGGACGAAACGTTCTCGAGGGACCAGAAAAAATTAACAACCATAAGATTACAGTTTAAAGCTTGAGCCATGAGCATAAAACTATATACCAAGTTTCAATATCGTTATTTTAACGGAAGAGCCTTTGTGCTTGAAAAATATGCTTAAAGATCTGTAAATAAATATCATTTATTTCGGTTGCAAACGTGACATACCTTGTTCCTATATTTGTATAATAGCATCAGCTGTCAGCATAACTCAATCACAAATGCTGAATGTCAGCCTTTATTCCGATCACCAACAATTTCTCTATCTGATAACTTAATTTTTTGTAAAATTCTTAAATCAAGATTGTCTTTGTAATTCAGTTATTCATATGTAATTATTCATATGAAAAGCTTAAATGACATTTCTATTTTAATTTTTTTCTTATTGTATGTTAAAAAGACTCACTCATTGATACATTTACCATGAATGAGTTAACCTTTATTTATTCATTTTACAAATGTAAACGATAATAATACAAACTGCCCTTGCAGTAGTATAATTTTTAATCTTACCAGACGTAGAGTATTATGATTTGGTATAATGTGACAACATTTTTGAAAATATTTCTTAATTTTACTTTGTTATCATTTAAGACCAAACTAACGTTCAAAGGGCTTTTATTAACTATCCAGTTTTATGGGGTTATTTTGGAAATTTATTGCGCTACTTTAACCCTCCCCTCCCCAATCTTTTGTAGATATAAAATAATTAAATTTTACAATATATTGAATAATGTTGTATCTTTATCTCAATAGTTATTTCTTACAAGAGTCTAATAATGTCATTTGTTGATAATACATAATATTAAGAAAGAAATATGAACGTTTGTATGTAACTATATACGTAAAAGCAAAAACGATTTGAGTAATTTTGAATAATCGTTTTGTTTTCTATTTCCGCACTGGTTTTCAGACAGAATGGTTCCAAATATAGAACAACGTAGATATCAATGCTATTTTAGCTTTAATTCGAGCTTTCATCCTATTATTGTGTCTGTTTCTCTAATAAAACAGAAAAAGATGTTGTACTGTGCAGAGTATAATATGTGTTCTCTTACATACATCTCCGTTAGCTGACAAAGAATTTGCTCACTTGAAACTATGTTACAACATAGAAGTTTCTTTATAAAAAATCATATGGGTGGGATTGACGTTGTTAATGTTGTTTCCTTACGACATAAGATAAATTCAATTTGACTAAATATGAATACACACAAATACGCTTTATATATTAATATCTAGCAAACATTTCATATTTTCTATATCTGTTAATACTTGAGACTTAAACGTAAGTTAATATAGGATTACAAACGTGGTCGATACAAGCCAGTTCAACTTGTAGACTTTAATTCTACGACAATTCGATGTAGTATAAACACAGAAAACGATCGGCAAAATTGTTCAATTAAAGCTATTTGTCTATATTTAGATTTCCAGAACAGAATGTTTGAACTATTCTTTTGATTTTATTATTTTTAGCAATCTTAATGTCATTCTAAAACATTCATTGCTGTGCTTTTACTGTTTCTGTTCCACATCAAAATATTGTCTAACCCACAAAAAAGAAAGAAAATAAAAATGTTATATTTGTCACATTAAAACGAAACATATATTGTTTTGATAAAATGGTATGTATATGTATTATATTTCAGACTTATATATACGTAATATTGCTGACAATTATGCCACTTGTGAATTTTGCTGTTTCGAGTCATTGTAAAAGATACCAAAGGCAATTATTTCTTGTTAGGTATCATTATTATAGCTTTTGCGCCAGGAAACTACGTTTTGTCTCATGAGACATATGCCCATTTTAAGTCTATAGTAAATTAAAAGTTTCCATATTAGTTGCCTGCCTCTTTATTTTGGCAATTCTTACAGACACAATTAATGTCGTTGTCTATATAAACATATGCAGCAATCTTAAATGTGTTGACCTATCTGTTTAATGCCAAAGAAAACATAGACGCACCAGATATGAAAAAAGGATAGCATAATGTTCTAGTTTGTGAATGAATTCCGTTAATCTGAAATGATAATGTTTGTACTTTAATGGCATATTTTAAAAGCATGAGCTTGAAATATTAGCAGACGTCAACACATTTAGTTGCATATCGATGGAAATTGTCACCCGTATCAATTCAAAATGCTCTCTCAGTTTTATTCCATTTTTACATTTCATCGAAAAGGTTGGGCAACTAATTTGTTGTATGATTTATAATCACAAATGTTTAATTTAGTTTAGAACATCCGAGACAAAAAGCATCAAATTGTATTCCATATAAAAATAAACCATCCCCTTAGAGATACTATTAACCGCTACATTGTTCATCATTGGCAGACAATATACTAGCAATTAAACTGTTACTTAATGATGTAACACGTTCCTTTAAATTAATCTTCAATTTCACACCAAATTCCATTGGGAAAATACTTCTAGAATTTCATTACAAAAGACACTTAAGAGACTTGTTTACATTTCACAGATACATAATGCATTTATTCAAATGGACAAATTGCTTATTAGTTAGCCTTTTTCTTTTATCTTTCTCGTGTAAGTAATTGATTGTAAAAATACATCTTGCTTTAAAGTTTTGTTCAAGTATAACTTTTTGCATTGAGCTGGAGCACTCAATTTGTCCACAGTTTATTCAATAATATTTGTCGGCATTTCTTGTCAGTATAAAAATAACAAATATTTTACATTCACATTACATAATGGTCAAAGAATAACCAAGAACATTTTCGACATTATATGATAAAATTCAATTATGCCTAACTTAATTGAATTAAATGAAAGTTTGTTTAGATTTTCTACAGAGCATAAATCGACGAAATTCATGGAACATTTCTTTTCTTTAAAAAATGTAACAGCTTGTTTAAAGTTTCAGAAAGGGGAATTTGTATTTAAAAAATGCAGACAATGTTAAGAAAAAGAAATCTATTGATTTATATGATTTAAATATAAAATTCAGAATTTATCAATTGAAAAAACTCACCGGATACTCAAAGAATGTTCTTAGGTCAGTGGTTACGACAAAACAGACCGTTGCTATTAATTCAAATTGTCAGTTAATAAGTCCGTATGCAAATTTGTAAAAAGAACTAATGAAGGAATAACGGAACATAAAGTGACTACCGGTTTGTAAACGAAGCTCTCTCGTGTTTTCCTGATTGCATTATCATGGAAATGACGGCGTTCTTATTTTATTCAATATGATCATACAGTTGCATGATAAGCATTCTAGTCATAGCAAGGATAAATCAAAACTTTTTTTAACAAATATGTAACACGGTACCTCATCAAAAATATACTTTCGTTTATAGTTTTTTGTTATTTCTATCATATGCTTTACTACACACAAAGTCTTAAGCCTTTGCCAGCAGGTCAGACTGCATTTCTACACTAAAAGATTGACAGAAAAATATTTGATGAAGCTCACGACACGAATGCGAAACGAAGTTAATAAAATTATAAAGTATATAATTATGGAAAAAAAATAAAAAGAAATTTAAATCTGTTCCATATACCCTAGAAAATTGAACATTATTAGAACTATTAGACGAAAGAATAGAAATAAATCGTTTGTATTATGCAATGGTATCAATCACTTTGATGAATATGACATTGAAAGGTATGTGTAGTTCCTGTGCTGCAGTGTATAACATTATTTTACAAATTTGTCCAACACAATCATTTTATTTCAACAAAAATTTGCTAACGCTAGAAAAGCCTTTGCTAAAATCAACGCACTGAAGTTTTAAACGCTCTTAAATATAAATCCCATTTGGCATCAGTAAGTGATTTGGTATTTGCATTAAATGGATATTAGTGACTCTCAGGGGATGTTTAAGTAAACAATTATCAACACACGATATACATCATAAAACATGATATTAGTGGTAAAAGGTTCCTGCTTCACAACTTAGACTTTTTTACATTGCCACAATACAACGAATTTAACAA